TTTTGGTAAGAAACCTACAAGTAGTGATTGATTAAAGGTATGGCTCAGTGGTGCAACAGCAAGAGTGAAGCCTTAAGTTTTACCACCACTACTGCAAAAAACAAAACCAAAAAAAATGTGAGTGGAAAAAACAGAAAATCAATGTAAATGAAAATAACCCAACACAGAGTAGCGATTGCTAGGACTGCAACGGGTGCAATAACTTCTTAGGACTCTGAGCGCCGCTGTTCACCCACTAGGAGAGAAACACCCAGCTCGGTCCGGATTCTCAGGACTCCAACTGCACAAAGCCCCACAATTCCTACGAATTGTCTACTGGGCAGCAACGTAACTCACTCCGGAAAACAGTATAAGGTGCGCGCAAGCTACGGAAAATCCCTGCAGCCACAGAAGAAAAAAAGGAACAGTTGAAACATACGTGTCCGGGATTTGGGAAGAATTCTGTCATCAGACAATAATGGCCTCTCAAAGGAATCTCCCCTACTGCATCAAGCTGGTCATCCTGTGTCTTTTCCTACGGATGCCCCGGGAAACCGGAGCCCGGCAGATCCACTACTCCGTTCCTGAGGAGTTAGAGAAAGGCTCTTTCGTGGGTAACATCTCCAAGGACTTAGGACTGGAGCCCCGGGAGCTGACCGAGCGCGGAGTCCGCATCGTCTCCAGAGGTAGGACGCAGCTTTTCTCTCTCAGCCCGCGCAGCGGCAGCTTGGTCACCGCGGGCAGGATAGACCGGGAGGAGCTGTGCGCCCAGAGCGCGCGGTGTCTGGTGAATTTTAACATCCTTGTGGAAGACAGGGTGAAACTTTTCGGGATAGAAATAGAGGTAACTGATATCAATGATAATGCCCCAACATTCCAAGCAGAAAATCTAGATGTAAAAATCAATGAAAATGTCGCTCCTGGAATGCGTTTTCCTCTCCCGGAAGCCATTGATCCGGATGTGGGCGTGAACTCCCTACAGAGCTACCAGCTCAGCCCCAATAAGCACTTCTCCCTGGGTGTGCAGAGCCGCGCCAGTGGCGTCAAGTACCCGGAGCTGGTGCTGGAGCGCGCTCTAGATCGCGAGGAAGAGGCCGTTCACCACTTGGTTCTCACCGCCTCTGACGGGGGTGTCCCTCTCAGATCCAGCACTGTCCTCATCACTGTGACTGTCTTCGATACAAATGACAACGCGCCGGTCTTCACCTCGCCTGAATACAGAGTGAATGTTCTAGAGAACTTGCCTGTAGGCTCTCCACTGCTAACAGTCACCGCCACCGACAAGGACGAAGGGGCTAATGGAGAAGTGACGTATTCATTCCGAAACTTACCAGACACGCAATTGTTGAAATTCCAGCTAAACAAAAATACTGGGGAAATAAAAATATCCGACCATCTAGATTACGAAGAAACAGGTTTCTATGAAATAGAAATACAAGCAGAAGATGGAGGAGCATATCATGCAACTACAAAAGTGCTGATTACAGTAGAAGATGTAAATGACAACAGTCCAGAGGTGACCATCACATCTCTGTTTAGTCCAGTGATGGAAGATTCACCCCTGGGAACTGTCATAGCTCTTTTAAATGTGCATGACTTAGACTCTGGTAAGAATGGAGAGGTAACCTGTTCCATCTCAGAGAATCTACCATTTAAGTTAGAAAAGTCCATAGACAATTATTATAGAGTAGTGACACACAGAAGCCTTGATAGAGAACAAGTCTCCTCTTACAACATTACAGTAATAGCCAAAGATGGCGGAAGTCCACCCTTGTCAGTGGAAACTCATTTCATCCTGCAAGTGTCCGACATCAATGACAACCCGCCCACCTTCTCTCAGATCTCCTACTTTACCTATATCCCAGAGAACAATCCCAGGGGTGCCTCCATCTTCTCAGTGACAGCTCAAGATCCAGACAGCAAAGAGAATGCCCAGGTCATTTACTCTCTGGCTGAGGACACTATCCAAGGGGTACCGCTATCTTCCTACGTATCCATCAACTCCGACACTGGCATCCTGTACGCACTCCAATCCTTCGACTATGAGCAGTTTCATGAGCTGCACCTACAGGTGATGGCCAGCGACAGCGGGAACCCTCCACTCAGCAGCAACGTATCACTGAGCCTGTTTGTGCTGGATCAGAATGACAACACACCAGAGATCCTGTATCCCACCTTCCCCACTGATGGGTCTACTGGGGTAGAGCTGGCGCCTCGCTCTGCAGAACCCGGATACTTGGTGACCAAGGTGGTAGCAGTGGATAAAGATTCAGGACAGAATGCCTGGCTGTTCTATCGCCTGCTCAAGGCCAGCGAGCCAGGACTCTTCTCAGTGGGGTTGCACACAGGGGAGGTGCGCACTGCAAGAACCCTGATGGACAGAGATGCCCTCAAGCAGAGCCTTGTGGTGGCAGTGCAGGACCATGGCCAGCCCCCTCTCTCAGCAACTATCACTCTCACTGTTGCAGTTGCTGACAGCATCCCTGAAGTTCTGGCTGATTTGGGCAACCTGGAGCCTGCTCAGGAATCCAGCACCTCCAGTCTCACCTTCTACCTCGTGGTGGCTGTGGCCACTGTCTCCTGCATCTTTCTGGCCTTCGTTATCATGTTGCTGGCATTCAAACTTCAGCGCTGGCATAAGTCTCACAACCTCCAGGCTTCTGGAGATGGGTTGGCAGGTGTACCTGCCTCCCACTTTGTGGGTGTCGACGGGGTTCGAGCCTTCCTGCAGACCTACTCCCACGAGGTCTCCCTCACTGCAGATTCAAGGAAGAGCCACCTGATCTTCCCACAACCGAACTATGCGGATACACTCCTCAGCCAAGAAAGCTGTGAGAAAAAGGATCCTTTGTCTTTGTTAGATGATTCCAAGTTTCCTATAGAAGATACTCCTTTGGTTCCAGTGAGTTTTTCCATTTCCTTCCCCACCCCTTAAACATTAAGAATGCTTTTACCTTTAGGTTTTTAGTATAGTGGTATGTCATTTAAATCTATATTTAGAAGTCATTTTTGTCTGTTTCTATGACATTTGCATCTTACTAAAACATTGAAGAGTTGAATTTGATTATTTAAACTGACTTTTTAAACTTTCTACTAAATATACCTACCTCAGTGAATGCCTGTTGTTGTGATTAGCTTTGGAGAATCTTATGCTTTATAGTGTTGTTGAGTACAATATTGAGACTTCAATATTGAGTTCAATAAGAGACTTCCATAGAGAAGTGTCTAACCATTTGTGTCTTTTCCTTAGGTGGCTGCATGCTGAAACAGGCCAGTTAGACAAACTGAGTTTTATTTTTAAGACTGGTCTTATTAAAATAGATAAATGTCAGAAAGCAAATATATTCACTTCACTGGAAACACAAATCAAGCTCAAGTTTATTCAATGTAAATGTTCCAAAGGAGAAGGGCAATGCCTTTGCAGCTATAGTTTTTAAAATTCTATCTTGTAGTGATGGTTGCTATTGAATACATTTCCTAGATACTTAAATTTTCTACTAATAATTAATTTATAATATTGTGTACTTAGATTTTATCCAACCATAATCGTATTTATTTACACTTTGGTATTCTTTTCACATATGATTCTCATTTCATATTGCTGCGTGGAATGTATAACTTTTAATTTTACTTTCCTTGCCCAACAGAGATTCTTTTGTTCTTTTACACAAGGTCTCACTGTGTGGTTCAGGCTGTCCTTGAACTCATTGTGATCCTCCTGCCTTAGCCTCCGGAATGCTGGAGTCACAGGGATGAGCTACCATGCCTGGCTCAACAGGGGCTCTAAGAGTCAACAGAGGATTGACTAGAGGAGATCTGGGGTTCTGTTGTCTTTATCTTTTTAATAATTAAATACTCTGGGGCTGGGGAGATAGCTCAGTAGAATTAGCGCTTGCCTGGCAAGTGCAAGGACCTGAGTTCAATCCCCGGTTCCACCAAAAAAGAAAAAAATAAAGAAGAAGGAGAAGGAGAAGAAGAATTAAATACTCCAACACAAAGGTTAAAAATAAATATAGATTAGGAAGACAAAATTCTTCCAAATAAATGATTGGTGGGGGTATTAATGGTCATGTTTAATTCAATTAAGATAATGATATATTTGGTTGGATCTCTTATTAGTATTCTACTAACTTTGGAAGGAAAGCATCAAAGAGTGACCTATAGTGTCTCAAAATAATTATGACACCATGAATTTTCCATGTCAGTCGACTGTTGGTTATTTGTAGGTCTGTGGAAGGGTTGCACACACACCAGGGCAATAATTATTAACTCTTAAATCCGTAAAACTACTGCATTAAACTTCCAATCCATGAGAATCACTGAGAACTATTGTGTAGGTATCTCGGGTAATTCTATTGTTTTGAAAAACAAAGTTTAAAATGCTCTCTTGGCATTGTAGTTACTATAAACCACTGTTTCTAGATATCATCTTATAAAGCAATACAAACAGCTTGGATGCTTTATAAATAGGGAAATGAAAAGAGGGGCTATTACTTTTTAACCAAACAAAATCTATGATTGAAGACAAAAAGGGTTTTTTTTTCTTCTTCTTCTTTATCTTCCATACTTCCAGTTTCACAGAAAATTACTCTATGGTGCTGGGGATCGATGCAAGGCCCAGCAGATGTTAGAAAGGAGCTCTACCGCTGAGCTACATCCTAAACCAGATAATTTCTCTGGAAAAGATCAATATTGATTGTCTTTGGATGAGGGATTGGATAGCAACGGACCATGGGATAGGAGACCTGTAGACCTTCAACATATATTCTTTATGCCTTTTTTAATTTCCAAAATTAAAAGGAAATACTTATTCTAAAATCATCTTAAAAGTTTAATATATAAAATAATAGTGATGAGATTTTTAAAGTTTCATAATGACAATTGGCTTGCTGACTGATAAACTATCAACTTGTAAGATCCGAAAGTAAGGAATCCCTAGTAGAAAACCCAGGCTGCGGTTCCACACAGAGCCTCTGGGCGCCGCTGTCGGCCAGTGCAGAGCAAGCTCGACGCCCGCAATCCCGCAGCCTCCAGCCTAGGCTTTCCTGCGCAGTCACCAACACACGCAGAAGGAAACCCTCTCGCCCCAGAGGCTCTGGGCTGCGCAGAAGCCCTGCCCTCAACACAAGGATTCTCAGCCCCGAAACTGGGCTCTGCGTGGCCCGGAACGAATGCTCTTCCACCGCGGTAGAGTGCACTTTCTCCAAGTGTGAAGAGGGGACAGAAGTGCAGCGAGCCATGGGAGGGAGCTGCGCGCGGAGGCGACGCGCAGGCGGCCGCGGGCAGGTACTGTTTCCCTTGCTGCTGCCTTTGTTCTGCCCCGCGCTCTGCCAGCCCATCCGCTACTCCATTCCCGAGGAGCTGGCCAAGGGCTCGGTGGTGGGGAACCTCGCCAGGGATCTGGGGCTGAGTGTCCAGGACGTGTCGGCTCGAAAGCTGCGCGTCAGCGCAGAGAAGCTGCACTTCAGCGTAGATGCGGAGAGCGGGGACTTACTGGTGAAGGACCGGATAGACCGCGAGCAGATATGCAAAGGGAGGAGAAGATGTGAGCTGCAGTTGGAGGCCGTGGTGGAAAATCCCTTAAATATTTTTCATATCGTTGTGGCGATTGAGGATATTAATGATCATGCGCCCCAATTCCTTAAAGATGAAATAAACTTAGAAATAAGTGAATCGGTCAGCCCTGGAATGGGAACAATTCTTGAGTCTGCAGAAGATCCCGATATAAATAGGAATTCACTGAGCAAATACCACTTAAGTCCTAATGAGTATTTCTCATTGGTGGTGAAAGAGAATCCTGATGGTGGCAAGTATCCAGAATTGGTACTGCAGAAGACCCTGGACAGAGAAACACAGAGCACTCACCACTTGGTGCTCACAGCTTTGGATGGTGGGGACCCACCCCTAAGTGGCACCACGCAGATCCGAGTCCTGGTGGTGGATGCCAATGATAACCCCCCAGTGTTTAGCCAGGACGTTTACAGGGTCAGCCTTGGGGAAGGTGTTCCTCCAGGAACCTCTGTCCTAAGGGTGAGGGCCACTGACCAAGACGAAGGCATCAATGCCGAGTTCTCCTACTCCTTCCTTGGTGTGACTGGCAAAGCCCAACACGTGTTCGCTCTGGATCCCAGCACAGGAATCATTATAACTCATCAGCCCCTGGATTTTGAAGAAGTAGAAAGATATACAATGTACATAGAAGTAAAGGACCGAGGATCTCTCTCTACACAGTGTAAAGTAATTATAGAAGTTCTAGATGAAAATGACAACAGTCCTGAAATCATCCTCACTTCTCTCTCTGATCCCATTTTGGAGAATTCCCCTCCAGGAGTGGTTGTGGCTCTCTTCAAAACACGGGACCGAGATTCTGGGGAAAACGCAGAGGTCACATGTAATCTAAGTAGAGATGGTCCATTTAAGATTCACTCTTCTTCAAGCAATTACTACAAGTTAGTAACAGATGGGAGCCTGGACAGGGAACAGACTCCAGAGTACAACATCACCATCACAGCCACCGACAGGGGCAAAATGCCTCTCTCTTCCAGTGCAACCATCACCCTGCACATAGCTGACGTTAATGACAATGCTCCCATTTTTGAACAATCCACCTACTTGGTCCACCTACCAGAAAACAACCAGCCCGGTGCCTCCATAACCCAGGTCGGTGCTCGAGACCCAGATCTTGGGCCCAACGGACAGATTTCCTACTCCATCGTGGCCAGCGACCTAGAGCCTAGAGCACTGCTGTCCTACGTGTCCGTGAGCGCACAGAGTGGGGTGGTGTTCGCGCAGCGCGCCTTCGACCACGAGCAGCTGCGCGCCTTCCAGCTCACGCTGCAGGCCCGCGACCACGGCTC